CACCTTGGATAAATTTCATCTCAGTTCAGTTTTAAAAACTTTATTGAAATCCATAGATGTCTTCATATTCAGGACAGGGGGAAAAACATGAGAATTAAAAAAAAAATGAATGTAGGACAAAATTAAAATGACATGCTTTCCAACCCCTGTGGGCTGAGATCAATACACGTGTGCACATTTTTTTGCAGATGTCAAACACTGGAAGAGGCCTCTGCTCCCAGGGAGTTGCAATCCAACAATACCTGAAGGGCCACATCCTTCCCACCTTTGCTCTAGCCTTTATTCAAAGCTGGAAGATAACCAGTTAAAGGCTGAGAGCATTAAAAAGTTGAGACTCCTCCATCTAGAGGCTTGAGTGTCAGGTTTAAAACAGGGTCTTTAAATGGGTGCTGTAAGATAGTTAAAAATGTCCTGAACACATGGTTTTAAGACCTTTTTAAGAGCCGCTGGCATCTAGAGAGAAATGACATAAAATTTTAAACCAGTGTTTGCTGCCAAGATCGCTGCTGCTACCAGCACTGCTATTCTGGAGAACTAAAAGCATTAGATTCCAGCTTTGCTGGTTGCTGATTTCAGAAACAGTTCCTTCCAGGGGAAATATAACAATTCACATAAAAGCACACCATAGCTCAGATTCTAGATCATCTGAATGTAGGGTAAATACTGTACAACATCCATATCCATGGGACTGGTATCCATGGCTTTACTTACCCACATCTGAAAAAAAATATGTTTTCTCTAGGCATTTTCTAGGTCCTTAAGCATGATTCTGTTGTATGTATCTGATGGAAGTTGACCAAAAAGTCATATTGACTACAGAGCCATTCTCCCTAGGAATCTCTAGGTCCTCCAGTGTGACTGTATGGTCAATTTCCACCAGAAGTAATTCATTTCAATAGAGTTTGCTATTATCTGCAGTGTCGTGTTTCCATGGTAAGTCCAGAAATGTATCCCCATGGATACAGGGATTGTATTGTATCTGCCAGGAAAGTTATAGAATGCTAGCACTATGTGACCCCATATAATAAATACCATTGTAATGCAAAGTATGAGAAACAGTGAATGAGAATAGCTGTCCCTCCCATGTATAACTTGGACATAAGCACAACTTATACCTGTCTATGTCACCAATGGGTTCTGGCTAATATCTATTGCAATAAGCAGTAGGTTCAGCTCATGGGTATGAACAATGACTCGGTCAGACAAGAGTGCATTTATGGGGTCAACTGCATGACCCAGACTAATTCATAGGATTTTCCCCATAGTTCCTTCCTTCGGCTTGAATCTAGTGGTCAAATCCACATATTGAATCTCAGCTCTAAGGGTCCTAAGTACATGATCTGCTGCACAGAGGCTGGCAGCAAAAATTGGGCTACAATTTCTTGGAGCTGTAATTTAAAAAGTAACTTTTCCAAGTGTGATAGCTACGGCCTTTGAGATCCACCCGCCTTGTTTCAACCATGCACAACATACAACATTCTCCGACTGGAGATGAGTTGCCATCCAATTTGGTTTTAGACAAATTTACATATGTATGCAAATTTCTCTATATTTAGGACGGAAGGTTTTTATAAGTCAAATGTGGGATGCAGTGAAATAGACAATTTTTCCACATCCTGATGAATCTTTGGTATATGTCCTAGCAAGCACAGTCTTTGGTCCGCTGCACATAACAGGAGGCGGCTCAGAAATTAGATGGCTATCCTGTATTGTATGAACATTTGCATTTATAGTGTATGAACATTTATAAAGATAATGATTCTCCTGTATGAACATTTCTAGTGATACATCCTTTTTATGGAGGATGCATCCATCCTGCATTGTTGCTTTACTGCTTCCTCATGGGTTAAATGATGCAAGAGGAAGGTAAATTAAAGCTTCCAGTTTGCATAATAACACTTGGTGAGAATCATATTAAGGGCTATAATCCATCATGCTTGGAAGAACCTGTCAAGCAAAGCCATTTGTCCACCGCTGTTAGTCCTGTTGACTCTTGAGTTCTAGGAGTAACCCCAGGTTACATGCAATGGCAGCCCTCTTCGATATAATAAAATTGCCTAATTATAATTCCACATATATGTCCACTTACATAATTTTATTAAGTCACCAGCAGTTAACATGTGTTTTTCCTTTTTTCTAACAATCTAGTAAGATCAAACAAATCATCACCATTTCTTATGACTCCAGACTGTAGATTTTCTCTCTTCCTTCTTTTTCTCAACTGACATAAAATTATTCAGAAATATAATAGCAATTTAACTTCCTTCTTGTTTGTCCTAAAATGCTTCACTTCTCATTCATTATTTTCATGACACTCCATTATTACTGTTATTTGTTTGTTTGTCTGTTATTTGTATTTTACTTTAAGTATGTTTTAAACTGTTTCATTGTTTAATGCTATTTTAAGGGGTGGGTAGGACCATGGGATATGTAGTGTATTTTTAATGTTGTAAGCCACCCTGGTTGCATTACACAGAGGGGCGGGATAGAAATAAATAGATATCATTATCATTATCATTATCATTATTTTCTTATTTTCCTAATCATCTAGTCATGCATGTTCTCCCTCTAATTCTGTACTTTATACTAATAATAGACAATAATAAGCACAATTACATTCCTGTAAATAGATTCACAGAACAGTTACATATATATTTCATTTTACATTGGGGGTCCCCATGACTCTAGGTTTTAATAACCACAGATCTACAATATAAGATTTGTCCATTTCTCTCTCCAGTGTTTGTAAGTCCACAATATTTGTAAGTCCACTTACAAAGATGTAACTTCCATACAGGATTACAGCCATTAGTCTTCTAAACTGGCATGAAGAGGAATGGTGGAAGAGAGGAATGGCAGCATGGTACAATGTTGTTGTTGTTGTTGTTGTCATTGTTGTGTGTCTTTAAGTCATTTCCAACTTATGGCAACCCTAAGGCGAACCTAACCTGGGGTTTTCTTGGCAAGATTTGTTCAGAGGAGGTTTGTCATTGCCTTCCCCTGAGGCTGAGAGCTTGTGACTTGCCCAAGATCACCCAGTGGGTTTCATGGCTGAGCTGGGAATCGAACCCTGGTCTCCAGAATTGTATTCCAACACATAAACCACTGTGCCACACTGGTTCCCATTACAATAGTGGAGGTACAATTTATCTTATTTTTTTCTTTTCTTTTTTTCAATTTAGGCAGCAAAATTCAAACTGCAACAGACCTTGGTCATGAAAGATATTCAGTCAGTGGCATATTTTTTTGTTTTTGTTTTTAAAAAGACAATCATTTGTGCAGTTTAAATGATGACCGTTGCCAGGAAAATGTATTCAAACCAATTGGCTTCACAGAGCCTACACAGTTGCAGGAGAATGCACTTTATTATCTCCAAGGGTTTCCAGTTTAAAATGAGGCAGGAAAAACAGTGACATGCCATGTTTCAGACAGCAGGGACTGAAGAAGCAACAGAAAAGAGTGCCACAAAACTCATCAAAATGAGATCTATTTTTAACCAGAATAGAATATTTCCTCCAAACTCTGGTTAGAAAACCTGAAGTGGAACACGTTTATCATAGTATTTACCGCTATTGAAGGGTGTTGCCGCATTGCAGAATTAATGCTGTTCAACACCGCTTTAACTATCATGGCTCCATCTTATGGGATCCTGGGATTTGTAGTTTGTTGTGGCACCAGAGCTCTCTCACAGAGAAGGCTAAATAGCTCACAAAACTACAAATCCCAGAATTCTGTAGCACTAAGCCATGGCAGTGGTGTTCAAGCTGCATTAATTCTGCAGTGTAGATGCAGCCCAGATCTTGCAAGCCAAGGATGTTCAAACAAAATGATTCCAAAATTACTGGCAGATTCTGAATTGGGCAACATGTGCGACCGTGGATGACAAGAACAACCGGCACAACAGAAAATATTTTGGAACCACAATCAATAGAGTTTTTTGCTTAAGGACTGGTGCATAGGGTTGTGGTGTGCTGTTTGTCTTTTTCCAGTTGATATGACACCTCTGACAAGTGACACAGAAAATTCTTGCCAGTAAATGTGTCTTACTGTTCGATGGGAGAGAGAATTATGCATGGCTTGCTTGATATGTGACAAGTGTCATATATTGTGTCATGGATCTCCTATATGCTACAGCAGAATGGTCTCAGAGCATAACAAGATGTCTCTTATGTGGCTAACTGACAATGCTTCTGTAAATGTTGGAAAACCACAAAGTCAGTGCAGTTTAATATCCCCAATCCTCCTCCTTGCAACCTGATTGGAAACTTAACAGATTTGCTTTAATCAATGAACTGCTGGCTCTTAAGACTGGCGAGGAGGAACGCCAGGTCAAGAGATGTGACATAGTTATGCAGACATAACTAAGGGGTTATTCTGATGGTGAAATAATCCAAGAAGAATCTGGGTTGAATGTTTGTTATTCACATGCATCTTGAATGCATCCAATTAATTTTTTTTGAGGGGAGGGCTGCCAAAAACTTGGGATTTAACTTGGGATAATCAATGTTGGGGGGGGGTGTCTCAGTTTTTCTAAAAGATTCATATTCTTTGCTCTGTGAATAACCTATGTGAATAGACCCAGGATAAACCAAGATAAAACTCTGCATGCCTTGAACGTGCTTCAATATATTTGCATCATCGACTCCATCTTTATTCGAATGTTGGCACCTGTGAGCTACCGAACTTGCAGAGACGTGCAGAGATGCGGTTCCATACTATGAACAACAAACCCGGAATGCGTGAGTGAGATTATTCACATAGTTGTGCCATAAAACAACAAAGTGTAAATGATCCCATAGTAGCCAATGTAGAATACTGGTGAACAATAATATTACCTTGAGAGGCTAAAAATGAAGAGAGGTGCTGTCTACGCTGGCTGCCTTGATGTTTGGAGAGGACACGATGTAACCAAGTATGGATAAGTTTGTTTTCCTTCCATTTTTTTAATACGTTAACACATTTCTATATTCAGAGCGTAAAGCCTTCACAGAGCAGGGTCCAAATAGGAAACAGACCATGATACATTAAGCTGGCTGAGTCATGGGAAAACATAGAAGTTTGCATGGAAAAAAATGTACCAGGGAACAGATTGTGCTTTTCGTCTTTCGCTTGGCCCACTTTCTTTACAGCTTTGTAGTCCTAATGGATCAATCCACCACAACCATTAGCAGC